TTTTCCATAGCTACCAAAGCTGTAAAAACCCTAAAAATTCTTAAGGGAGAATTTCTATAGATTCATGCCCTAAGTTTCGACTCTTGAGAGTGTTTCTTTTTAAACACTACTCAAGGATGTTCACTGTCTGAGCCTACTAGACGTTTACACCCACCATTATTGTAAAAAACTAAGTTTTTCAACAAGAATGAAAAGAGAAAAGGAAAAGAATTTTCCTTACCTCTTGATTGCTAGGAATAGATGTTCTGTCGTAGCGACGAGTGCGCATCAACCGGGAAGAGGATGAACTAATTTCTTGAGTGTAAAAAACGTTGTTTTTCTCTCTGAAAGTTTAAGTTCTGTGAAAAATTTGGAACAGGCTTAGGGTTTTATAGGGAGGGAGACGACACTTGGTTTTCTTTTATAATCGACGTTTGGGCGGGATGCGTTAATAGCCATTGATTGCGACCACTTGTCGTCAATCTACATGAAAAGTAACCTTCACGCTTCGTGGAGATCAACCGGCGTTTCCTTTTATTGAAATCCCCAAACGTCGGCATGATTATCTCCTCCACATTAAATGTGCCCTTATCCTCATTTACTACTTCAAAAGAGAATGTCGTTTCAGCATGGCTTGCATTTAATGCTCATGGCTGACACTTATTGCACAAAGACACGTCTGTCAGATAAAGCTTATTTTATTGACCAGAACAGCTATCAAACGCAATAGATAACATCTAAAGAGGTCGTTCGAATAAAACACTATTCTCCTCGTGTCAAACTCGAAGCGAAGTATTTCCCAACTTCTGACAGCAAAATGTCCTAAGTGTTTTCGGGTCGCGAAAGTTAGATAGAGGTCAAAACACATTTATAGCACTGAGCAGGATCCGACATGGGTCGCTGAACCTTTTGAAACGATTACCTCAGGTCGCTTGTGTAACTCTCAAAGATTCATGTTGCGACCTTTACTTAGTTTGCTGGTCGAGTTAAGCCATCAGCCTCATGTCATTTGTAACAATATGATTGTCCTCAATTTTTAGTTTGGGTAAATACTCCTCGTAATAAGTCAGGTCACAGTATAATCATGAAGTTCTCAAGATTCAATTCTTGAACCTTAAGAACTAGGGAGCTTCTGTTATGCTTAAAAAGTTAGGGCTGACGTAAGCTTACATCAGTTTGCACCAATCAGAGTTTAAGAAGGCTTTGCACCGTCGAGAAGTTGTCACATCGCCCCAAGACAAGAAGAATATGGCTGTCACCAACTTGATAGATTCTAGTTTTATCTATGAGTGAATGAGGGCCGCACACCTGTGCAAATCCCAAGTAATTTGAGGATATTTTCTAGGTTATCAACCAATGGGACGCAAGGAAAGATTTGCACAACACCTACCTACTTGCAAATTTGTAATCATTACCTTGAATTCATCTATTAAAAATAGAGGACTCCCCCTCTCATTTTCAGGATCTTGAAACTTAATTCTGATTGTAATCTTTATTTTCAAAGCAAAGATAACCTATGAGAAAGAGACTGACTTGAGATTATATCCGAATACTCAGGTTATTGTACCTCTGCTCGCTGTTCGCTATATGCAATCTCCTGTAATCTCTCATATATAAAATAACAGTGGATGTAGGATTCGCTTTAAGCATCCGAACCACTTTAAAAATTTGTCTCGCATTTATTATTTAGTCTTTGCATTTGATTATCCTAATCATTCACGTGTAATTTTTAAGAACAGTTTAACACTTTACACGTTCGAGTTAGTGATAAAATCATGCATCAACAGTTTGTTAGTTTATGAGTGAGAAAAAAATAATTTGACAACAAGTTTCTTCCTTCCTCTTGCTTATTTATATGGTTTTATTAAAAATAGTATTATTATATTATGTGTTATTTTAAAATTTCTTAGAAAATATAATATTTACTGAAGGGTTAATAAATGTAAGCACACTCATCATCAAAGAACATAACTGGTAAAAGCTTAGAGTGAATTAAGATTTTTTTTTTCTCTGGATCAGGTGGATCCTGTCTATGAAGCCCTTCCTTAAGGTTGAACAGCTCGTAATGTTTCACGCATCTGAAGCAGGAAACTAAGAAAGAAGAATGGTGGAGAGATTGGATGGGTTTCTTAATTTACATGTTGTGTGCTCTTCTGCTGGCGAAATTATAACTTTATTGCAAGGAAGTCTGACTAGCAATCCTCCTAATCGCAAGAAGGTTTGGCAATGGTCTCTTTGGGTTCAGTACGCTCCTGACTGCACTTCTTTATCTTTTCTGAATGACTGGGTGTTGTGCTGCGTTTTAAGAATTTATGGGCATTGTTTTGTTAGTTTCAAGATGCTCCTCTAGTGTTGGTCTACTACTACTAGGGTTGTATACAAGCCGAGCCAAGCCGAACACTATGGTGTTCGAAGCTTGGCTCATGAAAATCTAACGAACTCAACTCCAGCCTAGGATCGATAAGCTCTAAAAACCAGGCTTGAAGCTCAAGTTCGTTAAATAGTTTGAGCTCGAAATTGGCTCACGAATAGCTCGTTTATGAGTCCCCAATCCAAAGTAATCCATTAACAATCCTTCAAAACAACCTCAATCCAAAGCCAACTCACTAAAGATAACCCCAAAAACAAGGCTAATTGTCACCAAGCATCATCAAATCCAAAGCCAAACAGTCGCAAATATATCACTTAAAATTCCATCGGCTGTGAGAGAGAGAAAAGAAGAGAAAAGAAAAGAAAAGAAAAGAGAGAGAAGAGAATAGATGGAAGAGCGAAGGAGAAGGAGAAGTACGAAGAAAGGTGAAGAAGAAGAAAAAGGAAGAGGAGGAAAAAGATGAAGAAAAGAGAAGGAGAAAGTGTCGGCTGGCCACTGGAGAAAGAAGGTAGGGTTTAGAAATTGGGATAATTTATATAGGATATAGTAAATTACATATAACCCCCTAATACTTAAAAAAATAACACTTATACCCTTTCGAGCCATTCACAAGCCTATCGAGCAGAGTAGTGGATGGTTCATAGCTCGACTCAAGAGGGTACTTGAGCCGCTCGAGCTCGACTCGACAAAAGTCGAGCCGAACCCAACTTGTTCGAGCCGGTAGCTACAGCCCTAATTGCTACCATGTACAGCCATGAAACTCATTATTTTTTTTAAATTGTACAGATCTCTTATATTTGGTGGGCGAAGGCCTGTTTTTCTTATAGGCTTGGGCTGTATAGGTTTTTTAGCTTGGCGTTGCTAGGTTTCTTTTGCTTTTGTTGAGCTCTTGGGAAGTTCCAAGTTGCTCTCTTTGTTTGTAGGGTTTTTTTATTTTATTCTCCCCGCTTGTTTCTTGATTCTTTCTTTTATAAAATTTTTGGAATTATCAAAAAAAAAAAAAATTACTCTAGAGACAATATATTTATGGTTGTATTGAGTAAGAAAAAGATAATTGCCTATTCGTCATAAACTAACTTTGGGTTCAATAGTAATTCCTCTCAACTCTTACCTGATTTTAAAAATTGATCTTATTATGGGCTTCAACCTAATAAGAGAATTTCCATCTTGGGCCAGAGAATGTCCAATTTGTAGCGCATAGTGTTGCTTATCTCCTTTTCGTAAGAATGATTTGAGACGATCATTGTTTGGCATGACTGAGAGTTGAGCACTTGCGTTGTTTTTTTTAACACTACATTTTTTTCCCAGTACCATTTCCTCTTTATTTAATTATTTTTAAGAATAATACTACTCTTACAAATTTTACATACAAAGACTATTATACAAAGTGATTTGTCTCCTAGTAATTGAGAGAATGAATTTGTAAAACCAACTTATTAAATGAGATAAACAACGTGTCAATTAAAAAGTAATGTCGAACAACAATACATTCACAAACTTTTTTATACAAATTGATGTGATAAAAGATAATTAAGTGATTTTAAATTAAAATAAACTTTCATCCAATTATCTTTTGTTATATTAGTTTGTATGAAAAGGTTTATAAAAAAGATTTGTACGTGTAGTGTTATTTTTTTTTAAGTACAGTATATGTAAGAATCAGTAGGACAAAAGTTTAAGCCTAAATATGATTTACAATGCGGCGCATCAAACATGTCAATATCATACTAAATATAATCCAATTCCCTAATAAATTAATTCGATCCAGTACAGAGACAGACGATTAACCACACCCGTGAGTTTACCTTAATTCACCATCCACAAGTTGTATGTTTTTCTGCGCTAGACTGGGCTAATATCCGGTAATTTTAGAAATATGAAGATGTTATTCACTAAAACCAAAATAAAGAATACTAAAGAAGAGCTAAGGTAAAAGAACCCCCATTGGCAAAGGAAAAAGAGGCATGTGGGGCAAGGTTTTAAAACCCGACCTAGACTGGCCGGTTCAATCGGCTGAACCAAGAATCGGTGATTGAGTCGGGTCAGTTTGACTAAAAAATCGAAATATTAAATGATCTAGTTTGAACCGCGATTGGACCTATTTTTTGTTACGAACTGCCGGTCCAACCGGTTTGACCTGTCAGTTGAATTACATTTTTTATTATTTTTTTATATGTTATACTGACATCAGCATGATGACATCACGGTTCGACCCGATGGTTGAACCGGTTCGATCGGTTAACTTGGGACCCGATGACCTAACCAGGTCACTCCTCGGATCGGGGTTTTAAAACCTTGATATGGGGTGTTAATGCAAAATGATTTATTAGAGGAAAGTTAGATTCCATTGTATAAAACGCAGTACGTCCTAGCTATGTTACCAGAATCTTAATTTATTCATTTAATATTCTGAAATACTATGAATTTAGATATGGAGTCAAATTGAAAAAAAAAAAAACAAAAAAATTTCATAAATCATAATAAGCCGAGATTTTCTCACTTCCTTTGCCCAACTGCTTATAACTACCATCAATCTCGCCTTTGTTCTCTAAATCTACCATAACTCTCATCGCTTCTTCGTATTCGTTCACCCAATATATATTATCCACTTTGTGGCTTCCTAAACATTTGGCATATTTGCAGATAAATTATGAACACAAGCTCCGAGCAAGCAGTGGCAGCTTCTTCCGACAATTCAGATTATATCACAATCTCTACAGAAACAATTAGAACGTCTCCTCTTGAGGTTCATAAAGTGTGTCCTCCTCCTCATGCTACCACATTTCAAAAACTCAAGCAGAGACTTCGTGAAATTTTCTTCCCCGATGATCCCCTCTACGTGTTCAAGAACCAGACTTTTCGCAGAAAAATTGTTCTGGGTTATCAGTATGTGTTTCCTCTATTACAATGGGCTCCTACTTACAATCTTGCACTCTTTAGATCTGATCTTATAGCCGGACTCACCATTGCCAGCTTAGCCATCCCTCAGGTCTAATTTGACCATTATTCCTTTCTATTTCAATCAACATAATTCATATATATATATATTTTTTTTTAATACGATTTTAATGATTTTGGCCTGGCAGGGCATTAATTATGCTAAGCTTGCAAATCTGCCTCCGGTAATTGGACTATGTAAGTACAAGAACACTCCTTTTATTAACAAATATATATTATAAACGTGTGATATCTATTTGATGTGATGTTCCTAGATTCAAGCTTTGTGCCACCATTGATATATTCTGTACTTGGGAGTTCAAGACATATTGGCATTGGTCCAGTTTCAATAGCATCATTGGTTATGGGCACCATGTTAAACGAAGAGGTTTCTTTTGCTAAAGAAAGAGATCTCTACACAAAACTTGCTTTTAGGGCTACTTTATTTGCTGGTATTTTTCAAGCGTCGTTGGGATTTTTTAGGTATGACAACATATTTATTCATTTTTCGTTTAATTGATCATAATGACTTGGCTTAGGGATTCAAACGTTATTGAGAGATGAGATACTTATTCAAACTTCTTCGAGAGAAAATATCGGATGTTCATTAATAGAGGATAAGGGTGTTAAAAAAAATGTAGAAACCAAACCGAACCGGCTTTTTGGTTATCCGAAAAACCAATTGGGTTTCGGTTTAAAGAAATAAAAAAACCGATTTTCCAGTTCGATTACCAATTTACGAGAATATGAGAATCAGTTAACCAAAACAAGTTTATCATAAAAATATTAAATTAGAATAAAAAATCCGGTTTATTAAAAAAATATTAAATTAAAAAATATATTAACTATTAAATATTAAATATTAAATAAAAACTGGTTCAAAACCGATTAATCAGTTTTTACTAACTGTTAGGGCCAAAAATCGTCATTGGCCCAAATAGGAAAACGGGCCTGACAATGTGGAAGAGATCAGGCCCAATCCTGATGCAATCCAATCCGGATTAGACCCGGCCCATTGATACGAGATACAGTCGGCCCAAACCATCTGGGCGCGAGCCTCCCAATCCCAGATCACTTCCTAGACCTATACGCGAGTTCAGAGCCCATGGCCCCCGCAGATCACTTTCTTATTCCTGACCAATCTCCTATTCGAGGTCACCTTCATGTTCAGATCACTTTCCTACTTAACGTTACTTTCCTATTCGGGATCACCTTCCTATTCGAACATTGGTAGGACAGCTCACCACCGCCCTAATTCCTCTAGGGTTCGTATCAGAGTCACACTAGGACTCCTACTCCCACCAGGATTGGGAGACCAGACAATCACTATATAAGCAGAGGCCAGCCCTCTCACAAGAGACATTACATTACACCTTCACACCCGAAGCTCCTACTTGAGAGCTTCACATCACCGTTGTAGTCACAGTCTCCGACTAGACTTCCAGTAACCTCTCTACTCCCTAGCCCTCACTATACTAGCCTCTTTCAGCCTTGCGGACTTGAGTGTCGGAATGCCTACGGCAAACAGCACCCCGGTGTTTCCCGTATGCTTCACGCGTTTGTTTCTCTACGTGTGCAGGTGCAGCGAATCGCTAGTGGCCTCAACCTCACGGAATCAGACCCCCCTTTCGTATAGATAGATTTTTACGTCTACACTAACCAGTTCGGTTTCAGTTCTTGAACCGAAAAAATGGTTCGGTTCACAAAATCGGTTAACCAGTTTTGAGCACCCCTAATAAAGGATGCACGTAGACACCAAAAAGAAACTTTGTCTTATTATAAATAAGTTTGGGATTTTTAATGGCCTAGTTAAGAAAATTAATTAAATTTTGGCGTGTATAAAAATTTTCCAACCTTCAGGTATCTTAAATTCTTATACCAAATACAGTTGAGTTACAACCATTCCAAGCGCCGGCTTAATGGTGAAATTTGAATCTGCTTTGAAGATATATAGTATAGTGATCAAGCTGCTTCTTTTTTATCTGCTTCTGTGTAGTTTCAAGAAAATAAAATGGTTACTGGCTAAATTTTGAATTAATTTTGGTTATCCCTTTGTAGGTTAGGTTTCATTATAGATTTTCATCAAAGGCAACTCTGATTGGATTTATGGCTGGATCAGCAGTGATTGTGTCTCTCCAACAACTTAAAGGATTGCTTGGGATTACTCATTTTACTAGCGAGATGCAAATCTTTTCTGTTATGGAGTCTCTTTTTGGTAACATAAAGGAGGTATAAACAGAACAAAGTACACGAAGATGATAAATACTTAATTTAAGCATACTAACTATGCATCTCAGACAGAACAACAGAGAGGTCATTTTTCTTCTTTAATGTGCAGTGGACTTGGGAAACCATTGTTATAGGCCTTATTTTCCTAATTTTTCTTCTGATAGCCAGGCAAATTGTGAGTCCAGTTATTTGACTTCTCAACTCAACTTAATTTCCCAGTTTATCTTTTATTTAATCCTTTGATGATTTACGACATTTTTTGGATTTAAAATTTCAGACCAAAATGAAACCGAGGCTCTTCTGGGTTTCAGCTGCAGCTCCTTTAACATCCGTTATTCTATCCACTCTTTTGATTTTTCTTCTCAAATCCAAATTAAAACATGTTCCCACAGTAAGTACTTCCAGCGTATTCAACACAGAATTGCTTATAAAAGTTTGGAGAAATTTTGGTAAACAAGAGGGACTTCAGCTTTTTGAGACTTGAAAGAGTTGCTTTCCTTTAAAAAAAAATCAATTGATTTTGTTATATGATCCATTTTTTGCCAACAGATTGGTTATTTATCAAAGGGAGTGAACCCGCCTGCAGCAAACATGCTATATCTTCATGGTCCTCATCTGGCCCTTGCTATTAAAACAGGCTTAATAACTGGCATCTTATCTCTCACTGTAAGCAGTCCTGAAATTTTTGTGTCATTTGCCTTCAATATTTAATAAGTCAGAAGTTATGAAAATGCCATTCTGTGAAAATAATGCATCTTAGTTTGGAGTTTGGACTATAGCATCTTAAATTCGCTAGTCGGTAGCATGATAAAAAGTGAACATAATTTCAATATAATTTGAAGCGAAACCAAATTCTACACGCAGTAGTAATACTATTTTCTTTTAATCTTAGGAAGGAATAGCAGTAGGAAGGACATTGGCTTCCCTGCAGGATTATCAAATCGATGGAAACAAGGAAATGATGGCAATAGGTATAATGAACATGGTTGGCTGCTTCTTTTCATGCTATATTACTTCAGGTTACATAACATTCTCTGCCGATGTTTTATCTTAACATTAATTTTGTGTTATATTTTTACACAGTCCTTTTAATTATGGCTGATTTTCATTTTCTAAACTTTTAGGCTCATTCTCCCGTTCTGCTATAAACTACAACGCTGGGGCAAAGACAACTGTTTCAAATATAGTTATGGCAGCAGCGGTCCTTGTGACATTGTTTTTTCTCCTTCCACTGTTCTATTATACACCAAACTTAATCTTGTCAGCTATCATCATAACAGCTGTTACTGGACTGATTGACTTTGCGGCTGCTTTTCGATTGTGGAAGATTGACAAACTTGATTTTATGATTTGTATTTGCTCCTTCTTCGGTGTTCTTTGTATTTCCGTGCAGATGGGGCTTGCTATAGCTGTAAGTAATATTTTCTTAATTGGATTGCAGTAGAAAAATATCATAGAAGAAATTTAATGTAACCTTGTTGAACCTTTTGTTTGGAAAGTCAGGTTGGAATTTCAGTATTCAAGATGATTCTCCATGTTACAAGGCCAAACACGATGATTTTGGGAAATATTCCGGGCACTTGGACATATCAAAGCCTAAATCGTTATGAGACTGTGTCAAGGATTCCATCCTTCCTCATTCTAAGCATTGAAGCTCCCTTCTATTTTGCAAATTCAACTTATCTCCAAGAAAGGTAAATTGACGATGTTATCTCTTGATAATCAGCCAGATCCAGAGTTGATTTTAGTTTGTCAAGAAATATGACTGGAGATCTTCATTAAAGGTTTCCTTCTGTATTTCCTGAAGTATTTTCTGTGCCATAATTAGTTCCATTTTCATTGCAGGATTCTGAGATGGGTCCGCGAAGAGGAAGAGAGGATACAGAAAACCGATGAGAGTGATCTGAAATGTGTAGTTTTGGAGATGACAGGTACATATGCAAATCAACAACACATCGAGAAGCTTTAGCTTTAATTCAAAGTCTAAATCGGTTTGTTTTCCAAATTTCAGCAGTGACAGCAATAGATACCAGCGGCATCGACACTATAGCTGAACTTAGAAGGGTAAAGGATAAGAGATCACTTCAGGTACTGCTGCCACTAAATTTGATTTTTCCCTAGAAAATATGTTTAACTAGGTGTTTGTTGTTTTTGGTAAATTCTGTCTCTTGTAGCTGGTGCTGGTAAATATAAATGGAACTGTAATGGAGAAGCTGAGTAAGTCAAAAATCCTTGATTCATTCGAATCACATGGACTCTATTTGAGAGTGGGAGAAGCAATTTCTGATATATCATCTTCATGGAGGAGTAGGGAGCCTTAATACACACGCAATGATTTTAGCAGTTCTGTAAATTGTGTAACAAAGTTGTAGCATGGCACCATTCAATTAGTTGTACTTATCACAATCTTTATCTAATCTTCTTTCTTCTCACTTCTTGTACTATAACTTTCTCGAGAAAAGCTTCCATGAATGAGATAGTAATTTTTGTTTACAAGTTTGAATATAATAAATAGTAGTTCACCTGTTACACAGCAGAAGAAAAGGCCTGCACTGCTAGACAGTAGAAAAGGCAGTATTAATTAAAACTGTAACACGCAGTTAGAGTTTATTTCAACATTAACAAAGGGAAGGTACATTAATGAATTATTTTAAACAAACATAGATGAACATGGAAATAAATAAATATAGAGGTTAATTAGGCCTTGCAACGAAATTATTCCATTTTCACTTTGTATAAATTAGGCCTGGCTTACTTCTGGTAGTAAAATCAATAAACTTAACCGATTAGTATTTAGCCACCAACTGGGACTGGGACTCCATTACCCCCACCCACGCCAGCACCACTGCCTCCACCTATTCCACTTCCAACTCCTCCTCCTCCTGCTCCACAACCCCCACCTCCACCGCCACCGCTGCCACCACCACCACCAACAATGCCTTCTCCAGCACCACCTCCAGAGCCTCCTCCTGCTCCCTTACCTAAACCTCCACCAGCACCACCACCGAACCCGCCACCTTCGCCACCTCCGCCACCAAACCCACCACCTCCTTTGCCTGCACCTCCACCAAACCCACTACCAGCACCACCTCCAACCCCACCTCCTCCTCCTTTTCCAATACCTCCCCCAAATCCACCACCTGAACCACCACCTCCTTTTCCAATGCCTCCCCCAAATCCACCACCTGAACCACCACCAATTCCTCCACCTACACCACCTCCTTTTCCAATACCTCCCCCAGATCCACCGCCTGAACCACCACCAATTCCTCCACCTACGCCACCTCCTTTTCCAATACCTCCACCAAATCCACCGCCTGAACCACCACCAATTCCACCTCTACTACCACCACCAATCCCTTTGCCAATACCTCCACCGGAACCACCACCAATTCCTCCGCCTCCTCCTTTTCCAATGCCTCCACCAGCCCCTGCGCCACCTCCACTACCTGCTCCTCCTCCTGCACCACCTCCAATTCCTCCGCCTCCACCAGCCCCTGCGCCACCTCCACTACCTGCTCCTCCTCCGGCACCACCTCCAATGCCACCACCAGCACCACCTCCTCCTCCAATGCCACCACCAGCGCCACCTCCTCCTCCAACTCCACCAAGATGGTGGCTTTTACCTTTCTTCTTGTAATGCTTTCCAATACCACCTCCGCCAATCCCTCCACCTCCTCCCACGCCTCCACCAGCTCCAGCACCAGCTCCCCTTCCCCCACCCCCTCCCCTGTCTCCACCACCACCTTTTCCAACGCAGTCAGGCTTTGCTTCAGTACCTGGGTTTCCACTGCCATAACTGAAACCTACTCCCTTACCAAAACTAAAGGAGTGTCCGAAACTTAGTCCTTTTCCTCCTCCAAATACACCGCCACCACCAACACCACCACCCCCAAACCAGCCCGGGCTACCATCGAAGAACCACTCCGGTTTCTTTTCTTGTTCACTCTTCTTCTCCTCTAGTTTCCTACCCTCAACAAACTCGCACCCCGCAGCCAAAGCAACCGACAATACCATCCAAACGATTTTTCCTGCCATAGTGAGATGTGGTGAGATCTTACGTGAATGTGAATATGCATTTATAGAAGAGTCAACATTTAAACTATATATTTCCAAGATTTTGATTAGCATAAAAGAAGGACGGGTCATGAAATGTGGTTGGGTGCATTACTTCTATAATTGCTTCGCCGCTAGCTTTACAACGCTCATCCAGCTCAACTGTATGTCTATCTGCGTGATTACTTCGTTTGCATTCAGTACAGCGACAGCCCATATCCACCCCCCGTGATTTAACCATCTTTAATTGATTATACCTTTTCCTAGTTATACGTCTCCTCCATTTAAGACTAAAACTTTGGAGAAGAAGGTGCCAACCCCATCACCATATTTTGCATGGACAGAAAATAGACGCATTGATGATATCATGCGTACGTAAACTAAGGGCGATTGTCAGAGAGATCATCATGTCTAAAATTCAACCCGGTAACTAGTCTTAATTAGAGCAGGCTATGGCCGTGCCGGTACGAAAAAAGCATGGCACGGCAAGACACGGCATGACACGGCATAAAAATATAAAAATATACGTGTCGTGGGCGTTAAAAATAGTTCATGGGTTGACACGGCACTGAAAAAATAAAATTATAAAATAATAAAATTAACAACTATTTTTTAAAATAGTTGTTACCCCTTGTCACCTTGTATAAAGAAATAGCCATTTGTGTATGAAAGATTACCAGAGGTAACGACTATTTTAAACTTAAAATGGTGTTGTTGAAGCCATTATGTTATGAAAGATTGTGTGATGACAAATTCCAAGCTTCAAAATTGTGTTGCTTAAAATATATTGATTTTATGAATTTAAAAATTAATAAAAATGAAGATGTATACTAATTCTTAATTCTAATTTTTAAATTTATATTTGTAATTTATAATTATAACTTATAAGTAATAAAAAGTGTTAAAATTCAATTAATATTTCAATGTCTCATTATTTTATTATATTTCATAATGATTATATATTTTTAATTATTATAAATACAAAATATCACTAAATATAACATATAAAATATTTTTATAATAATTATTAATAATAAATCATAATTATCATAATTTATAAATATTAAAATAAAATATTTTTACAAAAAATGTGAGTCGGCCCATAGCACGACACGATATATAATGGGCCGTGCAGTGGGCTTTCAAATTTTATGGGCTAACACAGCACGACAAGGCACGAAACTGGGCAAGCTTTGACATGGCACAACCTATGGCACGATAAACCTTAAATTTTTAGGCACGACATGACCTACGGCCGCCTCTAGTTTTAACTCAACTCCATTAAATCTATCTAACTGAAATTAACTCCCTCCCGCCATATCAAATTATCAATTGAGACACACATTTTGGTTTTGTTAAAAATAGAAACTGACACTACACACAAATCTATAACATGAATAGTTAGATGGACTTTTGTTTCCACAATTCGAAAATGATTTTCCAAAGTCAAAATATAATTCAAAATTATGAATTCGTGATGTTTCCAATATTCCAATTATAGTTGATATAATTCAATATACTTATTTTCAAATTAAATTTTTTTGAAAATAAATAAAATAATTGTTTATATTTTACTCTAATTATTTTGTAATTATATTCAAAAACTGTTTAATGTATTTTTTTTAAATTAAAGAATTATATGTGAATTTTAAATCCCACGAATAACATACTTGGATACTAAATCAATGGAGACACTGATTAGTAAAGAACTGGCGTGGAATGCTCAATCATGTACGATAAATTTTGTAATTAATAAGGAAACATTTATATTTGCTTACGTTTTGTTTTTGCGAATTTATTTCTCTTTCCCTTCGTATTTAACTCTACAAAAGTTTGAACAAGTTACACTAAGTGTTCAAACTTTATCTATCCGTGCTGTTGTTAAGATTGTTAGAGTGAATTAGAGATAATATAGATAGATATGTGATTTCAGGTTTGATGGCAGTGGATTATTAAGTTAGTCTTCCCTAAAAATTGGCCAAATTATACATAAATTGGACTGAACACCTTGATTAACAAAAAAACGAATAAAAGTGTTCAAACTTAAAATGTTAAATAGGCATACAATATTAAAACTTTAAAAGAAGGATTTGACTACCGTGCTAGTTAGAGAGATGTTACAGGCTTACAGCACCAGTAAATGCATTTAAATAGAGCTTCTTATAAACAGTAAAGATTTGTACTTAAAGTATACATTTTTTTTAATAGGTCTTAACTCTTAAGTCTTAACCTCTTCTTCAATACGAGTTTTCTAATTCTAAGTTCTATATTTTGGAGAAGAATATTTACGAAACACAAACTTATTAGTTATTATTAAATAACAGGGCCAGGCGGAGGCCCAGGTTCCGCACATTCACCCGGTAAGCCCGATATCCAAGGGCAGTCATCTTCGCATTTGGCACCATCCCTTGCACTCGACGACCAATAATTGGGACACATTCAGACCCTAGACAAATTAGGGTTTCTTTATATTCTTATCAAATTCCAATTTGTTCGCTTTGATTTCCCCATAACTGTAATTTGAGATCCAACAAACTACCCTTTAGGGTTTTTGGCACATCAAAACATACACATTTTCCAAACCATACCCAAAAACTTTAACCTCGTTCAGTCAGGGTTTGCATTATTCTGAATCAATCTATCTGTACTCAGACCAAAATGGACAACACTCAAGAGGATGCAAGGTACTCTTCAAAACCCTATTCTCTAAATCGCCAGAAATTCCCTTCATATTCTCGTCCAATAAAAAATCGCTTCCAATATGAAGAAGATGATGAAGACGAGGATATCGATGCTTACATTGAAGAAAAAAACGAAGACGAAGAGTATGGTGTTGAATTTGGTGAGACAAATGGGCATCGCCACAATTTCAAAGAAAGCGAGAATTTTGAGAGATACCCAAAACGACAGAAGGTGAGAACCGCAGTTTCAGGTTACCAATTCGCTCCAAGAAGTGTCAAATTATCATATGATTGGACCGAGCACGAGGCATTTGTGTTGCTTGAAATTTGGGGAGATAGGTTCTTGCAACTGGGGAGAAAAAGTTTGAGAAGTGAGGATTGGGTTGAGGTTTCCGAGAAAGTAACGGAGGCGTTAAAGACTGAAAAAGAAGAGGCCCAATGTAAGCGAATGATGGATGAATTGAAGAGGAAGTATAAGAAGGAGAAGGTTAAAGTGGAGCAAATGGGAGTAAATTCTAGTAAATGGGTGTTTTTTAAGAAGATGGATATGTTAATGGACATGAGAAGAGAATGTGGGGGGTTAGCTTGTGGGCTTGATTCGGGTGAGTTTGTGTTTATGGATACTAGGGTTTATTTGGATCGGTCTAATGGATTTGACGAAATGAGGGATAGTCCGACTGAATCAGAGATGGAGGAGGATGAAGAAGAGGAGGATAATAATGAGGAGTCTTCTGCTTCATTGATGATGCTGGCGGATTCTGTTAATAAATTTGGGGAGATATATGAGAAGATAGAGAGTAGCAAGAGGGAACAGATGATGGAGTTGGAGAGGATGAGGATGGACTTTCATAGGGAGATGGAGTTGCAGAAGAAGCAAATTCTGGAGAGGGCACAGGCTGAGATTGCAACAATTAGGGAAGCTGATGATGATGATGATGATGATGAGGACACTCATGATGATGATGATGATGATGATGATGATGATGATGGTGAAGGTGATTCTATGGAGAATCTTAGTGAGTAACGTTGGTGAGTGTCTACTTTGTGATATATATATATATATATATTCAATGTCTTACTATAGCTGTATGTTTCACTATTATTGGACATTTCGTGGTCCTTTTGATCTGGTAGTCCTAACCGTGTATTGGCATTATGTTTTCTTGGTTAAATAGCAGGTAGGAGATACATTCATTTTAATTCAGTTTTCGTTGTATTTATTTTTTTTTGCCTATTTTAGTTAAAATTTCCCTCTTAAACTTAAGAATGACATAATCACTTCCCATCTCATGAGCACGGTGCTTCTTGAAAGGATACATTACATTGAATCAGTATTTCGTTTTTCATTTGCTGCCATGGGAAGAGATGTTGATATCTTCCTTAGCATTAACTGGAGAGATACCAAATCCAAACCCCCATCCATGAACTGAGTCTGAGCCACCTGCTACCATTTTACTTGGTAGGAGTGAAAAGAGTGAAGGAATTTTCTGTAACTCAAGACAACTTTATCCCCAAGAAATTAGTTACATCCTATTTGCACTTTTGAGTTTCATTTTAGGCAGCCATCTGGCACGACTTTCCAATGATGGAATATATCGTTAATATTGTTAGAATTTGAATGTTTAGTTGTTTAATTTGCATCTTTGAAAAAACTCTCTATGGTAGAGGATATATATATTTGAGCAGACAATGAAAACATATTACACTTACATACACTGGACCTTTTGCTTCTGGAATGTTAGACACCGTAAAGAAGTAGAAATTAGTCAATTACAATAGCTAAATTTCTTATTTGAGGGCTGTAAATGGGTAATCTGAGAATGTTAAAGGAACTGAATTAGGCCTTTATATTAAATGGATCAGCGATTTTGAAATGATCACCCAGCATGCACTGGCAGGGTGTACAGGTAGAAGTACATTTGACCTTTTCTCTTTGTGCTCTCCTTTTTTTTTTTGGTTATTTTCTCTTGTTAAAGAATTAGTAGTCATTGAAAACAGAAGATTATCATAGCAAACATTGAGAATTTCTTAACATTGTTTGAAGTCATATGAAAGAGTATGATCATCTCTTGCCGATAGGACACATTTTGTTAGTAATGTTTGTCCTCTCCAATAAGGAATTGTGCTCAACTTTTTCCCTTATTTTTGTCTTGGTCTCTTTCATTTTAATGTCCCTATTGTGGTGACCTTGTCATACTATTCTTTTTGGTGTAAAGAAAATTTCTGAGGACCTTGCTGATTCTTGCATGGAACACATTAAACTTGTGGTAATGACCTATGAAATGAATAGAATCTTTAGTGAACCGGTCTGTCTGATTCACTGGATTTATATTGTGGACTATTGTGGGTTATCGGATCTAATACTGTGTCTCACTTGAATTTTGATATATATTTTGTATGAAATGATAGGTGAAAATTTGAATTTCCCAAGTTTTTCTTATTTTTCATTTTTGGGTATTTTAGACTGATTAGATATTGGAGTCTGTTATCTATTTTACAAGATCCCAAAAGATTTGGTATCAGTAATAACAATTCTGAATTTTATCATTGTCAGAAACTGAAGTTCTGGAAGATATGATGGCATCTGAACCTGCTCTCAACATTGTGAGTGTAGCTACCAGGGAATTCTTTTTTGAATTTAAGGTCTTATGATTTGTGTAATGGCGATGGGCATGGATGTTTCATATCCTTGTTCTATTATTCCCCTCAGATTGGAATCTGTGAAAACCTGTGTTGTATTGGCTAGTTAGTACACTCTCTCTATTGTAAATGCTTTTCACTTTGACAAATTCACAAGCAACATCTATTTTTGGACATTCATAGTATATCTGTTTATATGCTCTAGATGTTTTCTAGAATTATATTATACCAGCTCTTCTCTTATTCTCTATGTAACATTGAATTTTTTTTCCTTAAGTTACATTATTTTTTTGGACATTCATATTATGAAACATTTTACTTTATATCTCTCCAGCTCCATGTTTCTAGTAATTTATTTTCATAATTGCAATGGGATAAAAAAATAGAAAACAAGAGGTTAACAGGGAAGTTATAGCCTGTTGTAGTTGACATTTACGTTAATCTATTATTGTTTGTGCCCTAGAAATGTTAAAAAAAAAAAAGGTTTCTTATTCAAAGCACTGATATTCGGTTTGATGTAACAGTCCGATTTGGGAAGAAACTAGGAGTATCATCAATTCATGAAGGCTCATCCCTTGCTTCAAAATTGATAATTATTTGCATCTAAAAGTTACACCCTCAACAACTAGCTAGGATGAGTATAAAACACAGAAAGAGAGAGCTTGATGGTCATTTATTTTTCTATGGTGTGATGATGAGAAAGTGTGTGGACGCTATAATTTAGCTCATAGAGTAAAATAATTTAGTGTAGACCATGATTGTAGTCTGTAATGCGACAGTTAATTGTAATGTACTAAAATATAATCTTATATTAATATAAAGTTCCATAAAATTTTATCTAAAACTCCATAATTTTGTCTCATTATAATATTGACAGATCTCTGCTGAAATACGTTTAATAAGCTTTCTTCTTTGATTTGTGAGTGGAATCTGAAACCTTTTCTGTAACAGTTTATCGTTGATTAGAGTTACAGAAATTTCAAGGTTTACATGCATAGTAGAACACAACATTCATGACAGTGTCAAAAACAAGCACAGAAGAATACATGGAAACCAACAAAGGAGCTTCCCATAAATGAAAACCCTTACACATCCTAAACTCAAACAAACACTCTACTAATCTCAAACTCAGATTACTTAACAAAGCCATCACCAGGGCTGTCTGCCGTCTTCCTTCCATTAGCTTCTTGGCCTTCAATAACGACTCAATTCCATAACACTCACTTTCCAACACTGATAAAACTCTTGCCAGGTTCCCAACAACCATAACCTGTGCAAATCCCACACAAAACGGAATTCCTATAAACCCCACAACACACAATAATCTCAACAATCTTGACCTTATTCCACATGCAAATAATATCTTTGGCAATGTTGTCAAACTGGCAACCAAAGCTCCGAATAGCCCAACAACAATCAGTAACTCCCAGAAACTTGTATGGACAAGTTTAATCCAACTCATCCCACTTCTAATTAACAGTCTTCTTCCATCAAGACTTACTCCATTGTAATTGTCTGAAACCGCTTGAATAGTGGCAGCTCTTCCTAAAAGCGAGAAGGTGATAGTGGAAGGGAAGCAAATGACGAGGTGAAGTACGGTTTTGGAGAGAATTTTGGACAGGGGATGTCCAAGTAAAGGATGCGTGAGGTTGATGGTTAATGAGGGTATTTGGGGGAAATGGTGTAAGAGAAAGTGGGAAATGAAGAAAGAGATTGGGAGAGGAGAGAAAAGGAAGATAGAGATTGAATGGAAATGAGTATGATGGAGAAGTATGAGTCTGATGGATTCTCTGAAAATCTGGGCTGTGTTCATAAGATACACAGACTCAAAGAGATTTGAACTTCTTCTTGCCATTGTTGTTGGTGTTGCAGAAGAAGAGTAAGAATTAAGAAGGTTTGATTGAATGAGAGTCAATAGCTAAGGCCTAAGGCTAAGGGGAGGATGATGATTATGCAGTTTTGGTTGCTTGATAGCTAATATATCATCATTAAACGGGGTTGTTAAGGGTGGTTATATCGTTGTCAAAACAAGCACTTTTTGGGATTTTTTAAAATGCTATTAATCATGAGAATGATTTGGAATTTTATTAGTTTTTAAATGGTTTACTTTGATATCTACTACTTATTACCCTATTCATTTAAATTTGGATTTTTGTAAGCTTAAATCTACCCTCACTTTGAATAGCATATACATGTTCTGTTGTCTTGGAGTTCTCAAAACATTCTATTTGATTTTCTGTTGGCTTTGTTTTTATTCTTAAGAGATGTGATGAAGGTAAAAGAAAAATAATAGTGTTGAAGATAATATATATAATTAAATTGATGGCAAAAAGGTTTCATTATGTTCTTCACTGAGAAAATTGTGTGCCTCTATGAGACTGGAAAAGGTAAAAATTAAGAAAAATGCTACAGGTATCAAAATTTTGCACCAATCTATATGACATCTAACTCGGACGTGCCACGTAGGACACAACACAAGTATTTAGTGAATGAACAATCATCCAACAATTATGGATGATCGTTCATCAAGAATGGACGACAGTCCAGAAAATATCAATGGACTCCCGTCCATATATCATAGAAGGAAGTCCTTTTATTATGGACGGTCGTCCATATACAATTTTAGATAAAATATTCATTTTTAAAATATAAAATTTTTAAATGAAATAAAAGAAAAAAAAAAACTTCTATTTTAAGTAAAAATATGGACGCCAATCCATCTAATGAGAATGGTTGTCCATATACAATGGACAACCATCCAAATGAGTGGATTGGCGTCCATTCTCAAATATATATATATATATATATATTTTTTTTTTAATTTTCAACTTTTTTTCTTTTTCATTTATAAACAAAATGCAAAGCAAGAGAGGAATGAAACATGTTTTTTAAAACCTGCTTTGGGAGGCTTAAATTTTTAAACATTCTAATTGAAAATTTTAAAGAAAATTTTTTATTAAACTAAAATTTGGGTATGGACGGCCGTCCATCTTACACAGACAATTGTCCATTGTATATGGACATCCGTCCATATAAGATGGATGTCTGTCCATTATTTGTTTTTAAACTTTTCTGGACGGGCATCCATAAGATGGACACTCGTCCATAGTAAATGGACACTCATCCATATTATATAGACAGGAGTCCATTGATATTGTCGTGGATGATCGTTCATTTGTGATGAATAATTGTCCATAACGTATGGACGACCGTCATGTAAGATGGACTATCGTCCATTTACGGAATCAGTATTTTCTGTCCAAAGTGACCGCGTCTTAGTGGATGTCACATCATTCAGTAAAAAATTTCGGTGCACAAATTCGGTTTCGTAGCATTACTGAAAAATTAATAATGTGGATTTGGAGTGAATGATTTATTTAAGAAGATTAAACAAGTGCTCATGGGAATTAGTTACATGGATATTTTATGCTCTTATAACCTAACTAAATTAGCAACAAAAAGAGGGGAAAAAAAAAAAAAAAAAAAGAGTATTGTGACCTCACTACTTATGCTAAAAAATAAGTTTTGGTTTTGGTTTTGTTTAAAAAATGATGGTCTTCTTCAGTATCAGATACAAAAGTCATTAGGAAAAAGGTCGTCTTTGAGTGAAGGAGCTATCCATTGTATCTGAATGTAAGTGATCTCCCATAAATCATCACCTTCTCTTGGCACTAAAATCTCCATTTCCTTCATCTTTGCTATCATCTTAGTCAACAATTCTGGAATTAATTCTTGTAATTTAGTGTCACCATATGGTCCCAAATCAGCCTTCATGCATGTATCCATTCTTCTCAGCAATCCTAACCAGAAAGTCCTGAACCCTGGACTCTCTACTAATTGTTTTACATATTGCAAATACACATCTGCCATGAACTCCATTGCAAGTTTTAAAGTCCCTTCCATACTTCTCATTTCCTTCTCTGCATTCTCTCTTCTTGAATACTCTACCATCTTTTCATGTAAATCATCAACCATTGCAAATATCACAAGGTTAAAACAGTTGATAATGTTTGTGGATGAAATATCCAAGTCTTCAGCCAATGTAAAGCTTCTGTGAAGAGATAAGACTGCATGATTTCTTAATTCTTCTCGCCGCGCTAAGCTGGTTTTTCTAAGTGCTTCCCCTAATTTGATAAATAAATTTATGGCAAAGTTCAAAGAAGCCAGACTTTTGGTGTCCTCGAAGGAAAAGGCACTTGAAATGCTTGCAACGCTAACACTGGTCCCTGATTCTAGGCATGCATTTTTGTACCATTGTATCAGCAAATTCACGGAATCTGACATTAAGTCCAAAATCTTCAAGTTCTTCTCCAATGGAGTATTCTTGAGCGCCACAAAACTAAATGCACAGTCAATACAGTAGGCATAATTTGTACGTGAAACATGAGTGGCGTCAGACATTAACATGATTAAAGTCTCAACCCCCTGATCGTAGGTTTCAGGGTGCCGACCAGTTACCGATAATAAATGAAGAACAGTCTTCCACCCAAGCGAGGATTGCAAATTTGCAGGGTATTCCACGATGATCTTGCTCACTGACTGTGTTATAAACGGACAACATGTCTCAAGAACTTCTTTATCCAGCTTCCACATTAAATTTATGGACTTGAAAATTAGCTCCTCTGGTAATTTATCAACTTGGTAATACGAAAGAAGCCTCAGACACACCTTGAAAAGGCCTATAATTGCCTTTTCTGCAAATGGGACGGGCGAAAACAAAGGAAACTGGGCAACATCAAGAAGATACTCATGGAAATAAAACCAAAACGTTTGAAACCTGTTTATGTTGGCCAAAGCAATGGCAGTGATCAAATCCCAACAGAAACCAACGGTTTCTTCTTCTTCAACTGGAGTGCTAAATTTTTGGCCTTTTCCAGCAGCTGAAAATATCAGAGAACGTCCGAGATTCAGTAAAGCTTCTGCAGGTAAGTTTGAACTATTGCTGAAGATGTTCCCAATTCTACACTGTTTAATAACCTTGAGATTTTGTTCTAATTCGTTCATGCCAAGGGACATAGCGTCTTCTGGGCTATCAAGGGATAGAAAATGGGTGAAACGACCAATAATGCCAGAAGTGTGGCGGCTTCCTATTCCATATTTGGTTTCATGTGTGGTGAAGACGACGCCGGATTCAGTTCTGGAGTGTGGTGGGACATCAGAGGTGGAAGAGGTATCAAATTCAATCACAGATTGGGGTAGTAGCATAAGCCTTTTTAGTTTCAACAAGCAGTCGACTATTTTCCTCCAACCCCCTCGAATCGAGTCTCCAAAGTTATTTGCAAGGGTGAATACCGCAAGCGTAGCCATCTTTGGCTTCATATCGTTGCTAAAAGCAAACAATGTTTCTTCTGCTGAGGCATAAGGATTTAACAACGTGGTGAATTTGCAGAATGAGGCAAGAAGTTCGTCAAGAGTGTCTTCTAGTCCATACTGAGCTATTCTAGATATTGAGATTAGTCCTTCTATGCATTCTTGGAGCAATTCATCTTCATCAGCATGCTCAAAGAAGGCAGAAAGAGCCGCAACTGATGGACCAGCAATGGACGCAAACATATCTCTACCCAGCCGACGATCAAAATCACATAGAGTAAAAGGCTTCATAGACCTGGTTCGATTCATTAACTCAATCCATCTGCTTGGATTCATATCGATTGGGCAGCCAGATTTCCCAAAAAGAGTGATTTCATTGTTTGCAATTGAGTGAAATAGCTCTGAGAGATACTCTCTAGGAAGATCTTTTCCTCCATTGATTGCCCTGTTGTTCTTGATGAACTCTTCCTCAGTCATCTTTTTCTTGACTTGCGGATTGTGTTGATCAGTATTAAGCATGATGAGAGAGTAGCATAGTATGAACACTGAATCCTTGCTTACAAAAATTTCGGACGATTGTTGATCGTATAATCTTTCTGAGAATGCTTCGAGGATCCGCTGAATCTTCTGGGATTCTCCTGGCAAACGGAATGTCTCTAGATAAGTTCGTAGAGCGTTGTCAAGGATCATGCCTGAAAATTCAAAGGTTTCCGTGAATTCTTTGAGAACTTGAATGTGGAACTCATCAGGGTCACCAAGGAAATCCCCAATGAAGTTTTTGTCTAGTCCATGAGTATAGCGAAAGAAGAAAGCGTAGGCTTTTGGATCTGGGGGATCAGAGACCAAATGACTAAGTTTAAGATATTCTAAACCCTTATTTTCATCCCGATTAAAATGATGCCCGGCGATCACTATCTTCCTTTTCTGTGTTTTCCGTTGCCTTACACTGTGCACCCACGCCTCAAGACCATCATCTTTTGGCATCTCTTCCCAAAAGGGTCTGTACTCTGTAATTTCAACTGGGTATGGTCCAGAAGGGCTTGAATCTCCTTCTTTGTCAATGTTTTCTGCAATGGTGTGAATCAGGATTACCAATCCTTCAAACGCTTGGATTTGCGAACTCGTCAAAGGGCCAGCCCCTGGAAACGAGTGCTTGCAAAGCAACTTTCCTATCTCTTCTACAATATTTCGGCAAACTGGATCACAATCATAGTTGACGTAGGCTTCAACTATGAATGTCGGTTGTCTACAGAAATTTATTATGCCTTCAAGCGCAACTTCTTGGAGTTGAAGAGAGCGTCCTCGAGCAGCAACTCTGAATAGTACAAAAGCAAAAAATGCTTCTAGTTGCAGACGAATAAACCTATAACAATTAAGTACGCATTAGAATTAGACTCCAGTAAGATCAATTTGAGTCCATAAACAAGAAATGTAGAGTTATTATTATATTCATATAGTTTACCTTCGAAGAAAGTGATAAATATTCAAAACAGTACTGCAAATCATGGATAGCACAAGTGGGCTTGAACCCTCACCATAGTGAATCAAATGGTGAAATAAATCATCTTGAATCATCCTTAAGAGCTTGGGGTGCTTTCCAATTGCCTCACCACTTAATTCGATAGAAGAATTGATCAAAACCAATGCGAAAAGCTGAACGTCTTCATCGGCAGAGTGAGATCCTTCTGTCTCCATAATTTGAACTACATTTAGCAAAGAACACAAGAAATGAAATATATCAACAGCAGAACGAACTCCATACCCTGAATCCAAATTTCGGTCACTATCAAAATCTTCAGAATCAGATTCTGATGCCTCTCCAGACTTAACCTCAATTTCAGGCAACCGTGAAAATATTATTTGTATCAATTCATGCATTGTGTATCTTGCACTACGTTGAAGCAAATCCCCGCGGTTTGCAGATTGTTGTACAACTTGAAAACACGAATTTACAATAATACAAACGGCATTGTCCGTAAGCAGAACTGAGGCCGGGTGTTTCATGATGTAAATAAAAACTTGTAAAATCCTCATCATCACAGCATCTTCAGATACACGGTCTGTTTTTTCAAGTTGACAACTTGTAATTGCAGTCACAACAGAATTAATGGCATCTTTTACTCCTGGTGTCTTCTCATCAAAGATTCCAACTTTGAAAATTTTCAATACGGCTGAGAGAGCAACCCCAGTGGCTGCAGCTGGAATGTCACCGCTTTGTATCACATCAAGAAATGGAGAGAGATAAATGGCGGGATCAACGGTTCGCCATTCTTGTTGAGGATTGAAAATCAGAGAACGCAATGATTTCAAAGATTGTACTAATGAGGAATCATAGCCGTCTTCCTGTATGTACTGGGTACTCGGGTCGTGGGGTCGCCGGATCACAGCAAGAACAGACCCAACTTCCGTGTTTAACATGCAGGACAGACCGAGCTCTTTTCTTTTGAATTTCTCCATGTCCTTCTTTCCCTCCATTTTGTTATCCTCATTATCTTCTTCTCCCATTTTTCAATTCACACGTTCATACAATTTCAAAAAACGGTTGAGAATGACGGTGCAGAAAGTGACTTGATGTTTGGTTGTTGTGAGGCTGATTTTGGGGAACTGCTTTCAAATGGGGGCATTATTGGAACAACATAATTTTGTCGAAACCATTTCACGCGGAAAAAAGCGGCCGGATTCTTTGCTAAACAAGAGGTTAATTTTATTTATTTGTTTTTAATAAATTGTTGATAATATTTTATGGTTATGGATGGGTATTTGAAAATTTCCGCCATTAATATCTCCTGATTTTAATCAGTTCAGTTGAGGGAAAGGACCCAATGGGTTTGACCTTGGCAAGCTTGATGGCTGAAGCTCTTGTCCACAGCACGTTGGCTCAAAACAACTACATTGATTTCTATTGATGTTTATTATGTCTTTTCACTTATTGTTTTAATAGATCTTGATTATCACTTTATTTATATTTTGTCTTCTATCAAAATTATTAATAAATTGCACCATAAACTCTATTTTTCTTTCTATATCTTAAATTCGATATTCTATTTTAAAATTTATTTTTAGTATATTTACTTTCCTTATAGAATTATATGCTTCCTTCATGATAAAAACTAAGATTGGTTTCATAATAATGCATGCCTTAAAAAGTATTTAGTTCTTCAAAACTTCCAAACATCTTCAAATACATTCAATAACATCGTACTTGGTATATATATATATATAGATATTTTTTTTTTTTTATTCTCCTTTCTCCCTGCATGCTTCTCCCTTTCACTAATGTTTTTTTTCTCAATTTTTCAGTTTTTTTTTTATTATTATTTAAATCCGCAAACTTTAAACATGTTTATGGGCAGGGAGTGGTAGCTACAACGCTACATAGCCCTTGAGTTTTACACCTCTTGAGCCCAAAGCTCACCTTTGTTTTTGTTTGTTTACTCTAAAATGTTGAAGACAAACAAATAATCCTTATCAAGAGAGACTCGTACAAACAAAATACGAAGATAGGTGTGTGATTTTATAGATGAAGGGTATAATAAAAAAATCAACAATAAAGGTTATTTGGCAATTAAGTGAAATGTATTTAGATATTTAAATATGCTAAAAAAATTTAATGGGATATATTTAGTAAAGGTAGTTGATGCCAATAGCTTCTCTGCTATTCTAGAATTTTCTTTTACGTAGCTAGCCATTTTCAATTCAAAGATCCAATTGAGGGAAAGAGAAAATGAAACATATTTATTATAGCTTGTAATATTTATTGTCCAAAACAAGCAGTTAATCATATGCCAAGTTAACCACCAGAAACTCCCCAAAAAAATACAGCAACATTACCCTCATTTTTCTACCTAATAAAACAAAAAATTAATATTTGATGAGAATGCAGCAGTACAAAACAAGAGGCGCTAAACTGAAATTAAGCAGAAGTTTGAAAGCTTTAAAAGAGCTAATGCTTCTTATCAAAGATTCTCATAATTTGGTGCAGGAAAATTACCAAGGGGAGGGGGAATTTATATAACAATTTCTGCCGCGCCAAACCAAGCCAAGTGCCAACAAAAGACACATGTCACTCACATACATTACCCAATGCCATGGAATGACACATTACAAGACACTAAGAATGTCACATGGACACTAACCATAATAAAAGTGGAAACCCACATTTTGTATAACAATATGCATATGATATCCCTTCATTTAATATGAAATATAAGGATGTAATAATTTCAAACTAACATTTACACGGTGTTCTCGCAAACAACAGAAATTAGGTACATATAAAAGAAACGGTGGTTGAAGCATAGCGTCACATGCCAGCAGTCCTTACCTCGGATCCTTTCCCTTTTAGTTGTGCAATTGATATGAGCTCTTTATCTCATGCCACAAACAAAACAAAGTATCATAAGCATCATCCTCTGTACAATTAAAATCAACAGTCTCTGAAAAATTCACTATGCCCTTCAACCACTCTTCATGGAGACTTGAGAATTCTGATCTCTGTTCACTCGATTTAAAACTTTGACCAATTGATTTTTTCATGACTAGGCCAGCATGTGAGGCCACATCAACCACCTTTTCTGGGACACCAGCCATTATGGCCACTTTCAATCCATAGCTCTCTGGGCATGCCCCAGAAGTAAGCCGGTAAAGGAAAACCAGCTCCTGGTCAATTTTCAATTTGTTTTCAGTGTTTGACTTGAAAGCGCAAGCCATATGTTGCAGTGTAACATGAGGATGAGAAGCAAATTCCTTTGTGAGGGGGTGGTAATGTGTTGCAAATAGCAACCGACAATTAACTTTCTCAATGAGATGGCGGAATACCTGCAAAAAATTCAGGAATGATTTTCACGCAATAACTACACCACATCATGATTTTCTGCAATTTCTATGTCAAACAAACATTTACTCTCCCAATCAAAAGTGTGTCAGTGCCTGTATACTTGTATAAATCTTTGACCTCATAACCTAGATTAGCATGATTTTAAGACTTGCACCAAGATTTGTAATTAGATAGGTATTATAAATTTCGACAAATATTTCAAGAGTTCCAAGATTAGAAAAACTATTTCTTCTTATGTATGGGGAAATAAGAGAACTCACTGCATATGCAATGGCGTAGCCATCAAAAGTGCTTGTTCCCCGACCCAGTTCATCGAGAATAACCAACGAATCCTGAGTAGCATTTTGAAGAACTGATGCTGTTTCTGTACATTCAACAAGAAATGTACCTGCAAAAAACCAAGGTTGTCTCCACAATCAAACTTACAACTTGAAGAGTCCACATAGATGAATACCTACTTGTGTGCACATGTGCATTATGACATTCAGATTCAGATAAAAAGAAACTTTCCTAAAAGTTTTCTTTGAAAGTTCAAGTTACATGAAATCCAGTCATTCAAAAGTCCATCAATTGCTTGTTCTTATAGTTCAAAGGATAAAATGACACTACAAAACATATCACATATCTTCATACAATAATATAAATCAAAGAGCTCGATGTCTTCACATGAAAAGTATCTTGTCTATAAATAGTTTTCTGAAGTAAACGATGTCTTCACATGAAAAATGTCTTGTCTATAAGTAATTTTCTGAAGTAAAACTTACTCTCGCCTGTCATGATTCTATCAGTGGCGCCAAGCCTTGTGAAAATGATGTCTGTGATCGAGAGAATGCACATCGCACTAGGAACAAAACAGCCCAGCTGCAAGTCATCAGAAAATTAGTTGTCTACAGAAAAAGAAGACTGGCCAATAAATCTTTCTAAATAATTGTTTATTTGCCATCACAATCTTTTAGCTTCTAAACAGCAGCACAAACCTGGGCCAATATAACAGTTAAACATGTGGCCCGCAGAAGTGTTGATTTTCCACCCATGTTAGGCCCGGTCAATAGCAAAGTACTAGGATGATAGCCATCTGAATCCTCACCAAGAATTATGTCGTTTGGGACAGGCAGTCCACTTTCTGCAAGGGCAAACGGATGCCATAGTCCTTTAATTTTGAGTATGGGTCCTCTGGCGTCCTGGCTCAATGCTGTAAGTTTTGACTGAGGCAATATATGTGGTCTAGACATAGTCCCACAAGACATGCTTGCAGTTACAGCAAAAGATCTCAATACATCAATACAACTGATGGAATGAATAACTTCAGACCATTGATCAGCTTTCTCTATAAATAACTCAATCAGAATAGAGAGTGTTTCAGCATCCGAATCTGTTACATCATGGTTCTGGTAAAAGATATCATGTCAGTACTGTGCCCAAATAATGGTATATAAGTAGAAACTACAATCATAATCCAACCAAGTGTAAGAAATTATTAAATATATGCTTCTGCCACAAAATTTGTACATAGCTTGTTAAACAGTTTGAAGTCAAACAAATAATAATAACAATAACGTTAATTAATAATCTGAGACAAATTCAGATAGGCATCATTACTGCCAGCAAAATATTCCTTAAAAGGGTTATAAAAAATCTGTCAACGGGAATTGCAATCATGGATAAATGTAAGAAAAGACATATAACCATTAATAGCCCATTCCAACATGCTGAATCCATTAACAGGAATATTCCAATGTAAAAGATGCAGCTCACAGACACAAAGAAAACTAATGCAGTCACCTATGTAGCATAATGTACAAGTAGAAACAGAAGCAGACCTGGTAATTCGGGAAGTCACTGGCTATTGCTGCTTCAAACTGAGCAAGAAATTTATCCAGATCATGACCACCATCTACGACTGGATATTTAAAATTTTTTGATAATGACAAAGCTATATGCCCTTCCTTCTGTAATAGCATTAACAAATCCATACCAATCCGCAGGCCCTTCACAAGGGACCCAAATGCTTTCACCTGCACCAACAATAAATATTACATACTTTAATCTGATAAAAAGATGTATTTGGTAACATTGAAAATTTAATGTTCTTCACATGTTTAACTAATCACAGCATCTTTCAACTAATGTAACCGTTCTTTCCATGCCTACTACTGAAATAAGGCATGCAAGCATAGTTCTTTTTATGATTTATCTCATGGCATCTTCCAAATAAACAAGTAGGTACCATCCCTTTCTGAAATCTTAAACCCTAATAGGTTTTATGAATAGAAATTTTACGCAAATGCAAAGATCATAATATTTAAGCCATCGATACATTTTTAAACCTTTTCCTGCAGCATAACCAAAATCCTTGCAGCATTGTCACAGCAATGTTATCTACTAAAAAACTTGATGAGAGACTAGTTCAATACAATCTGGTATAAGCTTAACTAGTGTGCTTCACATATCCAAAATGTAAAAACAATGTATCCTCTTTAGAAGAAAGAAATTTCAGATAGGAAACCTGATCTGAAATTACCAATTCATGAGTCATGACAATAACATCAAAGGTTTAAAGGAGAGACAGCGCTTTTGATAAACAGTGTGCTCCAAACAAATTTGATGGAGGGAAAAATCTATTTCAAGAAAACTTACTTGCTTCTTCAATACTTTTTTTCCTATCAAG